GTTTTCCTCTAAGATCAGGGATAAGATAAGGATACCCACTCTCACCACTCTTATTCAGCAAAGTACTGGAAGTCCTATCCACAGCAATCAGACAAGAAAAAGAAATAAAAGATATCCAAATTGCTAAGGAAGAAGTAAAACTGTCACTATTTGGAAATGACAATACTACATAGAGAAAACCCTAAAGACTCCACCAAAAAAAAAAACTATTAAAATTAAAAAATAAATTCAGTGAAACAGCAAGATACAAAATTAATATACAGAAAATTTTCTGTGTTTCTGTATACTAATAACTAACTAGCAGAAAGAGAAATTAAGAAAACAATACCATTTACAACCACATCAAAAGGAATAAAATACTTAGGAATAAAGTTAACTAAGGAGGGGAAAGACCTATACTGTGAAAACTATGACACTGAGAAAAGAAATGGAAGATAACACAAATAAATGGAAAGACATTCCATGCTTATGGAAAACTCAGTATCATTAAAATGTCTATACTGTCCAAAGCAATCTACATGTTCAATGCAATCCTTACCAAAACACCAATAGTATTTTTCACAGAACTATAAAAATAATACTAAAATTTGTATGGAACCACTAAAGGCCCCAAATAACCAAAGCAATTTTGAGAAAGAAGAGCAAAGATGCATCATGCTGATTTTGAACTATATTATAAAGCTGTTGTAATCAAAGCAGTATGGTACTGGCACAAAAACAGATACATAAGTCAGTGGAACAGAATAGAGTATCGAGAAATAAACCCATGCTTAATATGGTCAATTAATTATGACAAAGGAGGCAAGAATATATAATGGGGAAGAATTTCTTCAATAAATGGTGATGGGAAAACTGGGCAGTGACATGAAAAATAAAGAAATGGTACCATTTTCTTACACCATACAAAAAAACAAACTTGAAATGGAGTAAGGATCTATATGTAAGACCTGGAACCATAATATTCCTAAAAGGAAGCATGGACAATACACTTTTGGACATTGGCCTTAGCAATATTTTTCTGAATCTGTCTTCCTAGGCAAGGGAAGTAAAAGCAAAAATAAACAAATGGGACTACATCAGGCTGAAAAGTTCTTACACAGTGAAGGAAACCATGAACAAAACAAAAAAGCAACTTACTGAACTGGAGAAAATATTTGCAAATGATATATCTGATGGGGGTTAATATCCAATATATAAAAATAATGTATGCAACTCAACATCAGAAAAATAAATAATCCAACTGATAAATGGGCAGACGACCTGAATAAACATTCTTTCAAAGAGGACATACAGATGGCCAACAGGAAAAGATGCTCAAAATCACTAATCATCAGGAAATGCAAATTAAAATCCCAGATACCACCTCACACAAATCAGAATGGCTAGTATCTCAAACACAGGAAATAATAAGTGTTGGTGAGTATGTGCAGAAAAGTGAACTCTTGTGCAGTTGTATAAATTGGTGCAGGGCCACTACAGAGTTTCCTCAAAAAAAATTAAAAATAGAAATACCATATGATCTACTAATTCCACTTCTGAGTATTTACCTGAAGACAATGAAAACACTAATTTGAAAAGATATATGCACCCCTATGTTTACTGCAGCATTATTTATAATAGCCAAGATATGGAAGCAACCTAAGTGTCCACTGATGGATGAAATGGCTATAAAGAAAATGTAATATAAATACACAATGGAATATTAGTCATAAAAAATGAAACCTTGCCATTCACAACAATATGGATGGACCTAGAGAGTATTATGCTAAGAGAAATAAGTTAGAGAAAGACAAATACCATATGTTTTCCTTATATATGAAATCTGAAAAACATAACAAATGAACAAACAAGAAAAGCAGACAAAACAGACTCATGAATACAGAGAATGAATTGGCAGTTGACAGAGGATAGGAGATGGGGGATGGGCAAAATAGATGAAGGGGATAAAGAGATACAAACTTCTAGTTATAAAATAAGTAAGTCATAGTGATGAAAAGTAGGAAAAATAGTCAATAATATCATAATAATTTTCTATGGTAACAGACAGTAACTACATTTATTACAGTGAGCATCTTATAATGTACATAATTGTCAAATCATTATGTTGTATACCTGAAAATAATATAATATAATATTGTGGCAACTATACTTCAATTTTAAGAAAAGGAATAAAAAATATCCATAATTCCACACCTTAACACAGCGAATTATTGCTTTACTCTATTTCCTTCTAGTCTTTTTTTTCTTGACCACAAGTTTTCATGCAGACTCGTAAGGAAGACAAATGGTTATAACAGGGGTCTTGGGAGTGCATCCTTACAACAGGGAGGGGCATTTGTTTCCCAGAATCCCTCGCTCTGGGGACATTTCACATTTTTCTGATTCTCCAGCAGGTAAGGTGGTGGAAAGCAGGAGAGGAGTGGACAGGAAGAGGAAGCATAACTCAGTCAATTATATATTCAGTTTGTTCACAACTCTGGTGGAAAGATTCAAAAGAAGAGTAAGTGGAAATGCTTTCTCAAAATGTAGTTTACAAAATGTCTCTAGCACATTCATGCTTGGTGTTGAACCTATGCTGGTTATGATGCTAGTTTTGCTACTATAGCGAAGGCCAGCAAAACAGAGGTTTCAAGAGGATGGGACTGTATTTCCCACATTCCATGTTCCTCAGATGGGGAGGGTTCCCTCCCAGAGGACCCAGCAGAATTGTGCCTCAATTGTCCACAGTGAAAACCGCACGCTACTGCACTCTGATGCCTCCTTACGTCCCTGCCTCATTTCATACGGTGACGTGAGAATGTGCTTAGCTGACTTGCCTCCACTCAAAGTGGTGGCTACTAAGGGTGACTGCTGCATGAGGAAGCCCACGGCTATGTTTGTGCCAAGGTCATGCTTCCCGTGGGCTGCCCCCAGTCAATGACTAAGTACAGCAGCGACTCTGAAGCAACTGCTTCAGACCTGGGCCTCCTCTTGAGGCTGGGTTGGCTCAAGGATTCCCAATGGCTCTCCCAGCCTTGTCTGGCTCCCTCCTCATTACACCTCACATAGATGTTTCCCCTAATAAAATCCTTGCATGTTTAATCCCACCTTGGTGTCTACTTCTCAGAAGACTCAAACTGACATATTTCCCCACTCCTTTACTCATGCTTCCTGGAATCACCTCCCTGAAAAACAACTTGCACTCCAATCTCTGTGTCAATATCTGTTTCTGGGGAAGCCAGCCTACAACAGAGGGTATTACAGAGAAAGTGCACACGTCACTCCCACTCAAGGCCCTCCAGCAGAATGTAGTCACGTGGCCAGGTGAACGCGGAGGCTGGGGCATGCAGTCTGTTCTATGATGGACACTGCAGGGACAAACGGATATCAGAGGGCCAGTGGGCAGTGCTGTCACTCCTCCTTACTCAGCCTTCTAGGCCTGTTCAAATCCCTTCAAGGGCAAGGTTCTGGAGCAGGATGTGTAGAGGTACAGTCCTTTGATAAATCTGCGCTAATATAAGTTAATCAAAATCGATCCAAATCTTACTTCATGCTACAATGATTACTGTGTCCACTCCAAGACAAAACGGTAAAGGGAGTGAAGCTTATGCCCTGAGCCCAGCTCACCTCTTACTCCATGGCTCCTTCTCTCCTTTGCAAACTCCATCCAGAATTCCAGGGCTCAGAGCCCCTGTTACAGTGACTCACCCAGACACGAATTCGCCAGCCCACATTTCTCCTTGCCTGAAAACGTACTTGCTCCATTCCCCAAGGTTCTGCACAGCACTAACTTGGTAAGTTAATTTAACATAAAGTACATTAATGTTGGCTAAGCCTTGGCTGAGGGAGCAACCAGATGAACACATTCAGCCTCTAACCAGAACCCATAAGACCTAACCCAGAGGATGGAATGACAGTTTGCCTGGTGATTGTCGCAGTGTCCTAGATTCCATGCGACAAGCAAATATTACTCATCTTAGACGTCAAAGATTAGGCATGAATAAGTTACCCCATAGGAAGGACCTTCTAACACAGCTTGCTGAGACTCTGTAAGCTCTGTGGTCTCAGTTTTCTTGGGGCCCATTCCTTGGGAATTTTTTTTCCCCTCATTTTCAGTAAAGAAGCTCTAGTTCCTTGATTCAACAGGAAACTGACAACAGTAGTTATCTCTAGGGAGTGAGCTTATAGAGTAGGGGACAGTGAAGGGCTAATGTCACTTTTTAATATTTCTGTAGGGCTTGAATTCTTCATATCAAGTATATCAAGATTTGGTAACTTTAAAAAATAATGTAATTTATGATAAGCTACCTTACAGCTTGGAATAGACAATGCACTTGTCCTCTCTCTTTCTGAGAGGGTCTCTTCATCTTTGGTAACTGATGACAAAACCAATCTTTAGAGTCTCTTCTCCTCTCCTGAAAATACATTTGGATCCTTCCTGTTGTCAGCTTTCTCTAACAAGATATGAATTGTCCCTCATCCCTTGAGTTGGCTGTTCTGATTTGTTTAAAACCCTAATTTTAAGTAAAATTAGAACAGAGACCACATTTATTTATCTGAAGTGCTTAGGCGTGCCTGGTATAAAGTTGGCACTTAATGTTTTTGAGTAATGACTGAGCCCTCACACTGGTTAAGGAGGCTACTGAGTTCAGCGGGGCAGCCAGCTCCGGCCTCCGGGGACCAATCCCTCAGTTCTCGGAAGGGCTTCACCTGGAATGTAACTCAGGTGCCGGAGGCAGTTGGGAAGGGAAAATGGTGGCCTGAGCACTGGTGTAATACTAACAGTGGGGGCAATATCCATGAAAACAACCGCTTGTGCCTCACTTACCTTTACACTGGGCAGAACACGTTAGGCTTGAAGGGGAAATAACTGGTCAGAATCTCACTCTTACAGAAGCTTCAGGAACTAAAAATGAAAACAGAAGGAGGGGTTTTNGAAGGGAAAATGGTGGCCTGAGCACTGGTGTAATACTAACAGTGGGGGCAATATCCATGAAAACAACCGCTTGTGCCTCACTTACCTTTACACTGGGCAGAACACGTTAGGCTTGAAGGGGAAATAACTGGTCAGAATCTCACTCTTACAGAAGCTTCAGGAACTAAAAATGAAAACAGAAGGAGGGGTTTTTTTTTTCAGAGGGGGCATTGTTGACAGTATTTCCTCGGGTTTGTCAGCCAAATTGACTCTCTCAGAGATGGATTTCCTGATCTTTAGCTTAGCCACATTATTTAACTTTCTGAAGTAATTTCCAAATTTCACACCTCTGAGCCTCCAGCCACCTTCGGCCAACATCGCCGCCGTGTGTTGTGAGAGAGGGAGCTGCCTCATGTCACAGCATGCAGTGGTGACAACAGGTCTATCAAAGCCCAACCCTGGCCTTGCCAAGTCCTGGTCCTGTGACCTTAACTGGCTGAGCCTCAGTTTTCTCATCTGTTAAATGGTGGTGATAATGATAGCTGCCTCTAAGGGTGTTTTAAGGATTAAATGAGGTAATCCACTTAAAATAGTATAGATACATGGTAAGCACTCAGTAAGGGGTAGCCACTGTCATCACCATGACCATCCGAAGCCTATCAAAGGGGGCCAAAAGGGCCTGGGGCACAGGCCCAGAAAATCTCTCTCTTTCAGGCTGAGCACTACTGGAAGCGTTCTGCTGTGTCGTTCTCCTGGGATCTCACGTCTGCTCTTCGCAGAAATAGGAAGTGCGCAGAATGGAGCACAGGGGTGGGAAGTGAGGCTGGGAGGGCGGAGAGCAACTGAGGGCTACAGGTGGGTTGGTTCAGAGGCAAGATGCCTGCCAGCTGGGGGGAAGCAGGACTTACCAGGCACTGAGGAATCCTAGTGCTGACATAATTAATGAGGCTGTTGTGCCAAAAAGGGGCATGTTGTTAATATACAAACCTGTTGGGAGCACAGGAAAATGCAAATAAAAGATGTGCCAAAAGGGGAGTGAGGTCGGGACAGCCTCAGGGGAGGCCGTCATCTCTAAGGCTCAAATATACAGATCAAAAACAAAAAAGAAGGGTAAAAAAATAATTTCAAACACAGGACCAGCCGCTACAAAATACTTGGGCTTTTAACATTCTTATCTGATGATTTTACTTTTGTCTTTCCTTTTTTCAGTTTGCCAATGGGTCAGACTCACCTGATGATGGCAAGTGAAATTCCAATAGCGTTTTACGTTCGGAATTTTAATATACACTCCACAGGATACATACAACTTTTACGATTAGTTTCATTTCTTACTTTGGAGAGCTCTGGGTTGCTGAGAAAGCAATCCTGAGCCTACTTAAAATTTGTGGGCTTGCTGTAGCTGACGTCGCCATCATAAAAACAGAAGAGAGGATCCATTTGTCACCTAAGGGTTCCTTCTCAGCGGTGAATGCGGTTTGCTCTCCGCACCACGCGGGCGGGCGGCGGTGGCGGGCGGCGCCCTGCGGGGGTGCCCCGAGCGGGGGGCGGGCGCGGGCGATCCCGGAGGACGCTGCCCCCAGCCTCGCCAACCCACTGCGCTCACTGCCCGCCTCTTCGGCTTTTCCCCGGCCGGGGAGTGACGTGGGAAAGCGCCAAGGGTCCGCGGCAAAACGTGGGGATCTGCGGCATCTCATCTCAGTTGACCTATGTGGCCTCTTCGTCCTGCCGGCTGCCTCGGGTTGGCTGACGGCAAGACTCCCTGACCTCGGGCCCGAGGCGCAGCCAGGCCCAGCGGCGGGGCCGCGAGACGCTCCGCAGAGCGGCTGTGCGCGCCTGGCCGGGGCGCGCACGGCGTGCGTGCGTGCACGTGAGCGTGTGGCGGGCGCGCGGGCGCACATTGTTTCTGTTCCAAATAGGGAACCCTCGGATCCTTCAGGAGAAGGCGCGTTTGTCTTCTGTGGGCTCTTCGTGCCGTGCCCCAGCAAAGGGTATGTGGGGTTTTCAGGCGCTTCTGCCAGGCAGGAGAGATTTTCAGCTTGGTTTAATCTGTGTCAAGTGAGCACTTTACTCGAGTCACTCGGGCAATCCTCAACAACGCAGGGAGTAGGTGCTATTATCTTCGATTTCTGGTTGAGGAAGCGAGGCACAGCGATGTTAAGTCGCCGAGGTACTAAACTCAGACAGTGTGGCTCTAGGATCTACATCTTAATCCATGACTCCTTATTTCTCAAACCCAAGAGCCCCTAGGCTCCTATTTGAAAATCATAGGTTAAGGGACCCTTTCCACCTCCGTCCATCTAAAAACATCATTTTAGTTCAACTGAAACCCCAGGGGCTGCTCACAATGGCACAGAAAGCTTCGCAGTCATTGACTTGGGCCTGGCAAAGTGGAATCTCTCAAATGGTACTTTTCCCAGTAAAGGGCACTTGCATTTTAAACTCATCCATAGCATATTTAATTTTAAATACAACAATACATATAGTTTGATAACACATTTGATTCTTTGTTTCTGATTTATTATTCTCCTGTCTGTAAGCGATGTATTATATTAGGGAAATAGAATACAAAGAAGAAACTAAAAGCCCCCCACAATCTCAGGCCCCCATACCATGTGTTGCTGAAAATTCTTCATTAAAATGGATTTATTTAAAGAATTTAAAACAGCCTCATAATGTATATTCTGTGTTATACTCTTTAATTTAACAGTACATCATGAACATGTCCATATCATCAAATATTCTATAACTTTTTAATGACTGCACAGTATTTCGTTGCATGAATTTGCCATAATCAATCACGAGCCTTGTTTTTTGACATTTAGCTAGCTCCCCATATTTTGCTATTGCAAATGCTAAAATGTAGTAACTTTTGATACAACTGTGACTATTCCTTAGGACAAATGGCTAGCCATGGAATTGCCATGTCAAAGAACATCACACTTTTACAGGGGTCAAATATCCTCCAGAAAGGTGGGCTTAGTCCACACACCTCCAAGCAGAATGAACATGCCCATATCCCTTCCCAATTCTGGGTATCAATGCTCAAGAGAATCTTTATAAATGAACATATGACATCCTTAAGGAGAAAAAATGCCTAGGTGATGTCGTTGGAATATGCTGGGTTTCAAGAGAAAGACTTTGTATGATTGCAGATTTTTGAAACATTGGGGAAATTCAGATTACGCAGATGCTCCCCTAACTGAATGGGCCTCTGCAAAGGACATGGCAAAACAGGGACATTTTGGAAAAAGAAACTAGGAAAGTTAATCTCAAACCAATTTTTCTAAGGCAGGGAGACAGATGCTGTCTATCTGAAATGAAAAAGGAGGTATTAATTGCTTATTTTGCTGGGCCTTCTCTCCCTGGAAACTTACCATTATCAGGTCTGAAAACATTGATTATGCTGCCTACTGCAGAGCAACTGCAGAAATATTCAAGGCAGTGAACCTGGGCAATTAGAGGTTTCTGTTAATTTTATTCCCCATTCATTCTACCAGCTTCCCCCCTCCTCCATACCAGCAAGTTGGAGTGACAAATATTTAGAGTCAGCCTGTCAGGCATGAGCAGCACAATGGTGTGAATGGCTGGTTTTCTTGACATCCTAAACAGCTTTGTGAGTGCACATGGAGACCTGTGGACCCCCAAACCTGATGCGTTCTGACTTACAAGATGCCATTGGTTTGGCATTTGAGGCATAGTGAGAGGTCTGGGCAGGTGGCATTTTATGACCAGGAGATTAACAAACCTACAGTCTGCAGACATTTCTGGATTATACATGTTTGTCACAATGGCCTCTAGGTGGATTTCTGCAATGACAAAGAGGAGACTTTTAGGGTGTGCTTTAAATTCTTTTCTTTGCAAAGCTTGTTCAATTTGGCTCAATTGGCTGGAGACCATGATGTCCTTAGTAAATCTGAGAGATGCACATGGACCCAGCTGACCTTTTTTCTTCCCACTCAGCATTGCAGCAAGAGTAACAGATGTCTAAGGAAGGCATGTTCCTTTTTTATATGCAAACCTTGTTGCTAAAAATTCTCTTTTATATGAATTATTAAACCTAATTTATAAAATAAGGACAGTACAGATTCCTCTTGAACTATTCTTTCTCTTTGATATGTGATATCCACATGTGCTGGTAGAGAATAACAGAGAAAATATAAGAGGCCAGGTGGGGCGGAAGGAAGTTGATACAGGCAAATAAAGGTCATTTTAGGACCTCAGAAATTCACTGAGTGCTTGGACCCCTTGGGGTGCATTTGGAATTCTTTAATTATCCTATAGAAAGGCACAAAAACATAATTACTCTTGTAAACCTAGATTTCTCCTTGTGGTCTAATCAAGTAGGAAATTTAACACACCAAAATTCCTTTAAGAAACAGTACTGTCTTTGGGAACATGTGTTTGGGGCATTAAGGCAGGTGCTTTCAGGGGAGGGGTAGATTATTTTTATTCAAGAGAAGGGATTTTTGCATTGCTCTTGAAGGAGACTCAACAGGAGAGGCTGGAGAAGTTGAGGGGACATAAAGCCACAGAAAGGTGCAGCAGCCCCGGAATGATCTGAGATTGGGGTTCCTGGGGTGCTTAGTTGGTTGGTTAGGTTATAAACAATGTGATGTGCAACTCCCCACCTCCTTTATGACATCTTTCAGAACATCTACTTAATAAAAGCATAAAAGCCTTTACTACTTAATATTCTCCTCACATTTGTTTAGAACTCTGCTACAGAATTTATATCCCTTTTGTAATGCATGAATTTTTATAATAATTATAAAAAGGAAGCTAACAATGAAGTTGAAACCCATACCTTAATGCCAATCTTGGATGCTACCTCCCTGGGAAGAGCGTTCTATCCTTATACCTGCTCAGGGTCAGTAACAGCCTCAATACATGTAATGCAGTCCCAGGACAAGCCGCATTACCTGGGAATGAATCAGAATCTGCTTTTCATAAGCTCCCCAGATGATTCAGGTGCACTTTACAGTTTGCAAAGTGTTGGTGTACACTGGAATCACCTGGAGAGCTTTACAAAACAGGGATTCCTGAGACCCACTCCTAAGGATTCTGATTTAATTGGTTTGGGGAAGGAAGGCCCTGGGCATCTGGATTTTAAAGGCTCCCTGGTTATTGTAACATGCAGTGAGTTTGAAAACCCTGATTTTGGAATGCATCCCTTTTCAAGTTGAACTTAAACCCAGACACCTTGGAAAATACTTGGGCTGGACACAAAGTTTGCTGCTTTCACCAGCCACCAGCTCACCCCTAAAACTTATGTGTAACAAATTTTTACCACAATACTCGATGGAAGACTTAAGCCAACAGCTGACAATAAGAGGAGTTTCCAGGCTCACTCTTCTCCACAACTTGTCCTCTGTCCTCTCCTTTTGCACCCTGTAGGGAAAATGAAAGTTCCATGGCCAGGATCATCACCTGATCCTGATCTACTTACCCACTGTGTATGGGCAATGATGCAATACTTAGCCTACCAAGCAGGCACACGCTTGTATACCTGTCGGCAATAAGCCGTTGTTGTCTGTGTTGCTGTAAAAAAGAGCTCCATCCAGTGCTGAGAGTAGAGGAGAGCAGAGGCTAGAGGTGAGAGCAGAGGCTGGAGCGAAGGCAGCACCTGAGGCAGAGGCTGTAGCCGAGGCAGAGACAGTGATGGACTTGCAGACTGCCCCTGAAGTGGATGGAATTCTACCACTTAACCCACTGCAGTGAAAATAAAATTTGGTATAAACCCTTTTACCCCCAACATTCCATTATTTTTCAGTCTCACCAAATCCAGAGAGAACTTGCCTAAAGCTGAAACCCCCTTTGGCCCAGAGCTACACACCCCAATGAGGCTGCCTAACATGGTGGTTCAGGGCAAGGCTCTGGGCTCAAATAGCCTGGGTTCAAACCACAGCTGTGTGCCCTACCAGATCACCTATACACTCTAGGGCTCCGTTCCCCCTCTACGGGGGTTAGGAACTGTACCTACCTCACAGGGTTGGGAGGATGGGCCAGAGAGGTAATGCAGGGAAACTGCTCACCAGGACTTGACTTCAAACAGTGAATAGGGTATCCACCAACCAGGACTAGGAGGAGGAGCACCTAATAGGAGCTCTACTTCCTCTGCTGTTAAGAGTGTGTAGAGGGGTATACCAGTAAGAAAGGAACTCTTTCACACTGCAGACACCTACAAATACTCAGGATTCAAACTCCAGATGTCTCCAAAAGTGGGGATAAGTGGAAGGGCTGAAGAAAAGAGCATCAATGTCTATCGGAAAAGCAGTAAAGTCCCTGCTCCCCGCAACTGGAGCCCATGCCCTCCCCACCCCAGCAGAAGCCTGGAGCTTTACCCTCTGGAGAAACTGATCCAGAACTGTTCCTAATTCAAAGATGCCAGCTCAGGGTAGAGGTGAGACCCTGGGGCAGAAAGGAGATCAAGTGGAATCGTGAGCCCTCACCCACACTTCAGTCCTCTTTTCCCAGTAGGTGCCCAGGGTGATGGTTCGCAGGCATAGATTTCCCCAGCCGGAAACCAAAAAAAAAAAAACAACACACGCTGAATATTGGAGAATATTCTAAAGGAACAGCAGGGTTCCCTGCCTGATCATCCTCAGTGAAGCCCCAGTTGGCAAGCCCATCCCCACATAAAAAGCTTCTAGCCAACTTTGATGCCACCTTCCTAATATAAGTGGACAGGCAGAGATCACAAGGAAGACTTCTAACATGGGGAGCAAATACCAAAACAAGAGAAGAAAAGGAACTGAGCAAACAGATAATGTCCCACCCTTGAGGGGAGAGAGGCACTGTATCTATAAGACAGGAGAGGATAGTGGAGGTATAGAAAGTGAA